AGGCCATCACTTTTAGGTCCATTGCTAGTAGGTTGGAGGCCATCACTCTCAGGTTGGAGGCTATAGGCATTAGGTTGGAGGCCATCACTCTTGGGTTGGAGGCCATAGGCATTAGCTTGGAGGCCATCACTCTTATAGGTTGGAGGCTATAGCCATTAGGTAGTAAGGTAGGAGGTTGCTATAGGTTGCTATTAGGTTGCCATATATGCCAGTCCCAAACAGGTCGAGTCTGGAACCTGACGTCTGGACCGATGGACAGGTCTACGGTCAGTCCTCCCCCCACCAGTCGGTACAGCGGCCGTTGCACACTTCCACTTGATTCCAGACCTCAGAAAGGCCAATGTACAGCGAAAGGCGAAGGTCTGGAGAAGAGAACTAAGCATGTGGAAAGAAAGAGGTAATATATGGGTACTTTTCATAGAGGGCCCTACTAACCAATGGGTTTTGGTCTATGTATCTTCTGCCAGGGGGTTGAACTGGGGGTCTCCTTATTTTAATACACACCCATCCCATAAGGGGCTGCATGTCTGCTCTTCTCACCCAGCTCCGGACGTCTTTCACCTCCAAAAGTTGTTGTCGTTGGATCAAGCAAGTATTAGTTTATCAAATCACATAACTCACCGCCTAATGGTTCCACTCAAATTTGGGGTACTTCATCCATGTCTCCCAAGTAAAACAACAAGACAGCAAAATAAGTATGAACAAAACATCCCCCGTACCCCTGGGAATGGCATGTTGGTAAGCACAAGGCATCTGCATTTCATAGAGATACATGGTACACGTAAGGAGGATAACAAAACCATGTGTGAATGGCTTACAACCACACCCATTTCTTTGGGGTTTCCTCAACCAAGAAAAACGACGCGCTTCGATTTCGCCACACTAAGGCTTCAGCTCCATCACAGTGGTCGATGCAGGTCTGGCAAGTGTTGGTGCACCGTGGTTGATCGGTGATCCGATGTTGACCAAGAAACTGGACAAGTTCCGCAACGGCTAGTGATATCACGACACTGAAGATGTCGGCCCCGTGATATCACGAACTCTCTTGCTTCGAGGCTTCGATCCGATTCGATCCGAAACGCATGAAGCTTCAGCGTTCGATGCAGGCGCCTGAAAACAACGTCAGCAGGTCCAAGGGAGCGGAGCGGGTGAAAACGCGACCAGGGAGCCAGCGGGAGCCAGTGGGTTGCCGGTGGTTGCAGGGCTGTTCGCTTTCGCGAGGAAAACAAAAACAAATGCCCAAACGCTCCATGGGACTGCGATATATGCCGATCAGTTGGGGTGGTTTGAGGGGTCAATGTAGGCATATATGCCAGTCCCATGGAGTGTCTGGGGATTGCTAATTGACATGATTCTACAGCAATTCTACATGATCAATCTACACCTGCACCTTATGAGTTTAGAAACAGAAAGAGCTGTTCTCTGGACATGTGAGATTCAGTCTAAAAGAACGCATCTACATCAGAAAAGCTGCTGGGTGGTTACTCCAAGCTTAGCTATCAAAGCGACATTCGGCGTTTGTATGCGCTGGCCTTGCCGTCCATAGCTTTCGCGCACTCCTTCGCATGATGGCCTGCAAGGGTGTAGTAGCTCTGTGGTGCTAGGGCGCGAACTACCTGAGAAGGTGGTTGGGTGCCAAAGCGGTCTAGCCACCTTCTTCTACCTGTTTTTGTTTGGTGGGGAAACCATTCCCCCAAAAAGGTTAAAGGTCATGGGTATGCAGAGCCAGTCTAGCCACCTTCTTTTCAGATGTGCGACAGGAGCCCCGTCCAGGGATATGACCGTCCAAATGCAACACAGGACCGTCCAAGGCCCCCTCTTGTTGCACTACGTAGTCAAACGCCTGCAATGGTCGGCAGAGTGTGAAACACACTGGTTTCTCAAATGGTGACTGAAGCCAAAAGCAAGGGCATTGTGGAGGAACAGGTATATAATGTGTGTAATCCCATCTTCCACGGGGAACAAAGGGAACATAGCTTTCCTAGTCACAGCCCGATTGGAGGCTTGCGCGGTCAGCAAGGCCTACTACTATTATAAACAAGCTCTTCAAAGCACCAGGCGGGAACTCAATTACGTAGTAGGTTTGTCTCATGATGACATGCCCCAAGTGGTTTTCCTTTGTCTTCGTAAGCTTATATATATATATTATTATACGACCAGGACCAGAAAGACCAGATCCGGTTTTAAGTTTTCAGGAGTTCCTTTAGCTTTGAGACACCATATTTTGGCTCAGTTGAAGGTAGTATCGCCGACTCTTTAGGGCTTTGTGGATACTACCTAGTCTCAGTCAATGATCTATAGGGCTTAGTCTCACTAGTCCCCACCGAACCGACCACCTTTTTGTTACTCACCTCTGAATCAGTCCCACCCGCCTAGGGCCAAGAAGGACCGGGTGGAAAAGATCTCCTCAAACCACCGAGACATACCGGACCCGTGGCACCGGTGACGGCGTCGGTGGGCGCTGCGAATCCGATCCCAACTGAAGCACTCAACTCTTCACGTTTAACATCGTTGACGCATGTGGACGCCCGCAGAGTCTGGCGCTTTTCTTCACCGAAGAAGTGTCAGCAGAAAAAAGGCCATAATATCAAAGACACATGGGCTGTTGCATGTTGGGGCATGTCTCGCTCTTGTCCGCTGGCAAATCTCTGAAACTTTTCCCACTTGGACTTCATGTAACGACTTCGAGCGCCCTGCGGTTCAGTGTCAGCGAAGCGCCCCGGAACCGCACGCCGTTTCCCGGGCACCGTCTGGAGAAACAAAAAAAAGGACATCAGGCCCAGCGTCGATGGGGCCGTGAAAGCCGAGTTCGCAGTTGTTCAAGTAGATGCCATCGCCATCCAACTGAGTTCGATCGACGTCACCGACGTCACGTCGAGTTCGATGTGTGCTGACTCTCTTCCTCCGATGCACGACGGGTTTCTCTAACGCAAGCGCCATGAGATGAACCCGACATTCGGAGACCGGTCAAGCGAGAAGAAACGAAGGCAGGAAAACATATATACATGAGTCATGATCTCCAGGTTTTGAGGGATTGTTTTAAGTACTGTACAGTGTTTTCACACGCAGTCTCAAGAAAGAGTTAACCGTTAAAACCGTGTTAAAACAGTTAAATAACATTTGACAATTCAAAGAGCCTCAACATGTGTCAACGCAAAGGCTGAAGACGTCCCGAACCAAACACCGGCATCAGCTGAGATTCTCCCAGCGCGATTTCATTTGATGGAGAAAAACACCATACAAACAAGCAACGGTTACATATATGGTGACCCAAATACAAAGCTGGTGGTCATCTACAAGTTTTGGCTGGGAGCCAAAAGAACATGCTTGGCTTCCAGTCTTTCCGATTGAATAGTATTCATATATGTATTCGTCATTGCTTAGTTCTGCATGGCCCGGCCCTTGCTGCGCAACCCCGACCACCCACCCGACCACCCAACCGAGCACTGCGCCGAGGGGCGCCCCAGCTGAGCCCATCGAGCAAGGGCCGCAAGCGTTGAGGGTTCCAGACGGTATCGGGATCCACCTGCTAAGCCCAGCTGTGCGTCCAGCTGCGATGCGAAAGGTGTTTCACGTGACGGGACCTCGGTCGTTAGTTACCTCGATATGGGCCCAGTGAATGGGACGAAGCATATTTACATACGTTGGGGTGGTTGAAAAGGGGTCAATGTAAATATGCAAGTCCCATGGAGTGTCTGGGTTTAGACGATAGTGGTCCATTGTATTAAAGCAGCTGTCAACATCATGCCAAGCTCAAAGCTCATTGTGCGAAGTAGAACACCCCGCTCGTTGTAAGGAACCACGGTCGAGACTCAAGACTAGACATGCCGAAACCGCATATTATCTGTGTTAAGCTAAAAGAGCTTATTCGCATATCTTCTCTCTGTGAACTTTATCGAAACCGGCTAAAGCAGTTTGTAAGGAACATACCTGGACCTTGAAGGGGTGTCCTGTCTGGAGGTCCTGGATAGTAGTGGGCTGGGGCTTCCAGCCAGGTGACCCCGACATGAAGGTCATGATATCTTGTTCAAATATGTTCAACGAAATGGACACTGAAATGGAGTGCCATTGCATCTGGTCCTCTTGGAGTCCTCTTGGACCCCTTCAAGTGGTGGTGAAGGTCCCTGCGGTCCATGCCGGCAAGTTAAAGAGCTCGGGCAAAAGCCAGTGGTCCAGCAACCCCAAAAACCACATGAATCCAGTGATCAAACGTGCAAAAGTGTCCGAAACTGCCCTTCTTTTTCCGCTCATTCCCACCCCTCTCCGCCTTGATGACCCAGGCACTGTCCATGAAGTCGGCGTCCAGGATCACCTGCCTTGCCAGGATTCCCGGCCCAACCATCGCCCAAACCATATATGGATGTGTTTGACCTACATTGGGGTGGTTGAAGGTCATGCTGGTGCGCGTTGGAACGCATTTGGGAAGCCTGTTCCAGGTTTGCAGTTCATGGACCAAGGCCAAAACTCATCAGACCAAGCCCATGAGACCAAAGTCTTTGGGGCAGCGTGGTCACTGTGGCTTTCAAAAATCCACACCTGGATGGTCTGGGATAGATCCGCCCCGCCACTCTCAGACGATCCGCCGGCCCGTTGGCCGAGAGCGTCCTGCCTGTAGAAGGTGAGGAAGATCCCCAGGTTCAAAGCAGTGATAAACCTGCGCGCAACGAAGGACCGGGCCCCTAAGGACCGGGCGAAACGACGTCGCTTCGACGACACGACTGCCTGAATGGGGAGTGGCTGACTGTGGCGGACCAACTGGAGCCCCAGAAATGTCCAACATGATTCTCGTCTAGTTTAAAACTGCTCAGAAAGCACGGGGAGCACATCAAAGCGCTCTCCAAACCGTCCAAGAGCCGTTTCCGTGGGCGCTCCCGGCGGTCAGTCTGGGATCGAGCTATCAAGGACAAGTGGGATCAAGCTGTTGCAAGACACATCACATCCATCCAGAATTCAAGCGGTGAATGTCATCTTGTCTGCCTTAAGTTAAGAGGTATTGCCACGGTTGCAGCCCATAATTGCACTCAACTCTCCTCCTCACGAAGTTCTGCATGTCGAAAAGAAGCCCAACATCCAACATCCCATGCTTCACGGTGGCATTCAACTGCGACACGGACGTTCCCTCGTTCCCTCGTCGTTCTGATCGACGTTTCGATCGATTTTTGTCCCACCCACATTTCACCACTAGGCTCCCACACTGTCCGCCGATCTCACACATCAGGGGACTGTGGATGCGTCGCGAGACCACCCTTGGTGCACATGGTGGACACAGGGACGCGGGGCTACGGCGCCAGGTTGAAACAGTCCCATCCCCCAAAAAATGTTGAAGGTTATCCACTGACTGCGCCTGACTGGGTAGGTATATACAGTACTATAGTAGATAGATCAGGGATTCATTCTGAGCAATCGCAGGCAAAGTGATGAATCATGATGAATCTATAATCATCAGCAACCCAGTCTGCCACAACTTCCTAGCTTCAGGGCGGGTTGGGCACCTCAATCATTCAAGGACCTGCTCTTGGTGCACTTTTAGGCACGTGCACGTGCGGCACCAAACATGACACTGTGGAGGGCTGAACTTGCCCAAACGCATCGGTCCTGCACATCGGTCTCTTTCGCTTGCCCAGTGGCCCTGGGAACAGCTCGATGACCTCGTTGCTGTAGAGGGCATAGCTGTCGCATTGGAAGATTCCCGCCTCGGACCCGACCCCAAGGCCTTCCGGTGCCAAAGAGTCGGCAAAAAAGCTGACCCTCATGTTGATCCACCAGGTAGGACTCAATATAAAGAAAACCAGAGATCCTGGAAGATTGCCGGTTTGCTGATGTGTTCTTCTGTTCCCCAAGAATCAATCATAAAAAATAGTGAAACTCCATTATTGAAACTCTTCAACTTCGGATTGATCGAACAATCTATCAGAATCTAACTCAACACATCTATCTTCCGCGCAACTTACAACCCCAGAAGTTCTGAAACACGATGGGCCCCTACGGCCCTGGCTGGATGACCCGCCTGAATGGTTGAAACCGGAACTGGCCCCCTTTCCCAGCCTTCTTCCGGTATTGGATCTCCTGAGCGACGTGAACAACGCCGACGTGAACGCTTCCCCGCTTCGGTCAACAGCCCCGCTTCGACGTGAAGCGAAAGAGAAGGACACTTCGGACCTTCCAACATCTACCACTTCGGAGGCAAGGCCAGGCGTAAGTTGATTGAAGTGATGCCGTCTCCTCAGTTTTGGAGCATTTTAGGGCACCTGCCTAGCTGCCTAGCTCAGTTTCTCTCTAGATCTGGTTCTTTTTGGATGAAGTTCAATATTGTTTTTGTGGATTTGGGACTGCCAAAACTCTATCTGCAGTTCATTTGCAAGGAAGGGCCCAGTGCATGAACTTCATTCCGACAAAAACTCTGGATAGGAACGCACCAAACTAGAGAGAGAGAGAGAGTGGGACGTTGTGGAGGCCCACGCTTGCAGTGTTGTTTTATCATGTGTGAGTATGTGTTCGTTCTATGTTAGAATACTTGTAGTATTCTACCGTAGACTAAAAATAGATAAATGCGAACAGACTGAGAAAAAAAACAACAACAACTATAAACAACATGTATATAGAGAGCAACACAACACATATGCATGCTGATATAATGAACATCTTCAAATGTGCCATTGGTTGAAGGAAGCATTGCAGAAGATTGAACACATATGTGTGTGTGTGTGTGCATGTGTATGCGTAGAAAGCCAGAATGTGAGGCAGTGTTTTTGTTTTTTTCACGACGGCATCATTCCCTCAATACTTGTTTCTGGAAAACATGTCACAACAGCAAAGCATCATGATACTTCAAGAAGGAAACTTCAAAGCCTGTCTTGCTGGAGAGGAACATGAAGTCCGTGTCATCTGGATTCAATGTGCTCATTAATTTCCCACAGTGCCAACAAAGTTGTAGTGGTAATCTTCTTCTTTTCTACAAGGAACCATGTCTTTATGCTCAAAAGTCCTTAACATATACCGCTAAGCTATAGCCCTACAAGTCCAACACATCTGGCCGCTTCAGCGTTGAAGCTTGGGGACCCCGGCAATTAAGCTCTGCTCGTAGGTCCAAGGTCGGAAGAGCATCACACAATGCCTCAAACACACGTGTTTGAGCCACTGAATCGAGAAACTCCAAATCGGTCGAGTCAACATAAACAAACTGCATGCATGTCCGTAACAACTCTTCTGAAATCGCTTTGGGGAACGCACACGAACTTTTGCTGGGGGTGTGTTTGTGTGTGTGTTTCATTGTTTAAATAGCAATTTCGTGGGACCCAGTGTTTATCAAAGGTCCGGTTCAAGTGCTGGAACATGCTGGAAGCATTCTTCACTTCGTCTGATCTCTGAACGCTCGGCACTCAAAACATTCCGCAGTTCCTCTCCGTAGCTACTTGAAAGGCTATTGCAGTGCACAGCCTTAGTTGCACCATGTTGCACCAACAACCAAGTTAAACAAAAAACCCTGGCCCTAAGAATATGTTGTTAATTGTTGTTAGATTCCATCAGAACGGAAAAGGGAAGTGCTCTTCTCAGCTTCTCTTCCCAACTGCCAAAAGCGGTGCGGTGCTCGGCTACTCCCGGCTCGGTCCGAGTGCCCCGGACATCTCGTTCCGTTCGCGCCCTGACGGGTGGTGAACGCCCGTCCCGGGTGACTGCCGGGTGAAGGTCCGGCTCCGGGTGAACCCAAGTCGAGGGCGTTTGGCGTTTGGGGCCGATGATTTCGGTGCTCAGAGCGTCAACTGCGGAAGCCCGAACACTTGGCCGTCCACGGTCATGTCAGAGGCCCTGTAACTGCTGAGTCACTGCTACGTACTGCATGCTACGTACTCCTGTCTCCTGAAGCAACACAGGGGGACCAGTGTCATCATAGGTACTAGCTGGGTGGGTGATGTAAACTATCCCAATACATATTCACCCATTGTGATCACATGGGATAACCATGCCCAAACATCGACGTGATCCCAGATTCAGAATGTGGTTCCTTTTGTATGAATATCTCAACGTCACTAAACCATTTGCAAGCCACCACCCAGTCACTTCCGCCGCCCCCCAAAAAGAAAACCAACCGCACCAAGCACACCCAAACCATCCCAAACCCGCCTATAGTTCTATTCATGACACACACACCGACCCGCACACACCCACCCGATTTCGCCCAGTTCACGTCTTCTCCGAACCCAAACTCCGCGAGTCCAACGCGGCCCCAAGCATCTTCTCAACCGAAGAAAACCCGCGGGGAAACGGGTTTAGAAACGGGTCCAACACGCCAAACGCATCGGCCTTGCACCTGGTCATCGGGGCAACATCCGAAGTCTCCGGCATCAAGCCTCGTCGGGCCGAGGACCCCGAGTCCGGCGAAACCGCCCGCCCGATGGACCGAGGGGTCCGGGTTGGGTTTCCTCGATGCCGATGGACCCGACCGAAACTCTGTAGAGGTCTCCGAAGTGCGACTTGGAAGACTTTGACCTGGCAGTGGTGCTGGGTATAGATCGATATCCTTCTTGAACAGCTAGTAATAGTTGAACTGGTTTCCTATGGTGAAACCAATCCAACCATCTCCTCAGTCCATGGGACCCGAATCCCGTCGGTTCTTGCTTTCGGCCCAGCTTCTAGCTGGATCTATATAGGGGGTCGATTCCTCTTCGGATCCGAACGGGATCGGTCCTTGGTTTCGGCTGTACCAAGCGGCTTGCGACCGTCGGCGCCGTTGTTTCAAGTGTTCGAACGGTTTTTTCGTCGCTCCACCAAGCCACGGATTGCGACAGAGTGTTCGTTCCTCTTGCGACTGGGGCCCTCGAGTTAGTGCGACAAAAGAGGGTTTTGGCATCCAATCAACATGCTGCGGGGACGGATCACACTCCAAGAGACCTATATATAATATATGGACAAAAGACTAGAGAGTCAATCGCTTTGAATTCGCTTTGACCCAACCAACATCCATGCTCTTCTCGCGCGCGCTTTCGCGGTGTCCAAGAGACCCATTACAATTCTGCCCGCTCCGTAGCGCCCAGCCACTCCGGCAGCTGATGGCCTGCAGAGGTCGGCGGTGTCACGGTTCCGCCCATCCACCGGTCCCTGGAGAGGTCGGCGAAATGAGTTGTTTCACATGTCCAATTTTAGAATATGTCGAATACAAACAAAGGCAAATGTGGCCATTGGAACACATGGTTGGGACAACAAGACACCGTCTTGGGCGAACTTCCACATCTGTATATTGATTTAAAGACATATATAGTCATGAGGCACAAGAAGTCATGTGCCCGCAAGAAGATGGGTATGCCCAACTTGTCCAGGAGATGTGTTCCAAGTTCGCAAGCAAACCAGCACCGTCTTCTCCTCTGTGTAACAACTTCCTCGCCTGAGGCCTCTCGACTGGAGAGCAGCATTCCCTAAGGGCGGCAAATGGTTGACCGTTGGAAAGGTGTCAGAAAACCACAAGCCAATTATTCTTAATGAGACCAATGATTCTTAATGAGTCCTATTAGCACGGCCGAGTGGATGTTGATGGTTCAGTTGCAGGCCTTGTTCAAAAATAGTGATGTATTGTTTACCAACTGTTACAGGTAATAAGGACAGTTGATCAAATTATGTTCATCAAATCATCTTTTCATCAACAAAATCCGAGGTGGTTCCAACTATTTCGTACACAAAATACATCAAAAATGATATCCTACCAGTAATTAGGACAACTTCTGTTTAGAAGGTGGGACTCGGCTCAAGGTTTCAGGCTCCAACATGTTCCAAGCACCGATCTGAGTAAGTTGGGATTGACTCATGCTGCATATAAACCTCTCCGAGTGGCGACCCCTGTTGCTGATGAACTTGGTTCAACGGCCAAGGGAGGAAGGGCCTCGCGGTCATGTGAACTGACGGCAAACTGATGAGAATTCACAGTTGCACATCTCAATAAATGTATACTCCCTGAAACAATCATGGAAGTCGAGCGTGGGACCCTGGCAAACCGGAGTTCCTCTAGAAAAAAGGGGACCCTGCAAGATCGCTTCCATGTTTGTTGGAGGGAGGGTACATTGGTACATGTCAAATTTCATGGTCGACGGTCTTCCTGCTGGTACAACTTGATTGATAGATGGACTGGGTGAATGGGTGGGGCCATGGCGGTTGGTTACTCGAAGAAACTTGTCCGACCAAATAACATCAGTATAGATCTCAGGTTGCTGCTAGAAATTTGCCATCTGGTACAATCTACCCTACAACCAGCTTGTTGCGTACAACTCTGGCCCAACTCTTCTGTTGCAGTGCTGAACTCAGAAATGTTCAGGCGGCCAAGTAGGTCCCCAAACAAAAATATAGGGGACTGAGAGTAGGCTGTATTGTTGGTGGGTAAGTGTTGCTGGTGGTTTCTCCCGAAAGACACCTTGAACTCCATGGTAAGCAAGAACTTGGCAAAGCAGCTGATAGAGAGTCAATCAATTCTTCCCCCGATGTGTCTCAATGCAGCTATCCCAGCATCAATTTGATGATATCGATATGAGTGAACGCAAAAGGCTTTTCGCCGCTGATCACAGCTTCCTCAGAACGAAACCCATCTCCAACACTGGATGCCCCGGGGCCTGTTCACCGTTGATTGACAATCCCACCTGCGGCAAAGTTCAGAAGAAATCGGAGCAAAGCTCTGCATGTGATGCACAAAACTGCGATGGAGGGTTAGCATGGATGATGACTTCTAAATTCATCTAAATTCCTTGTGATGCACCCTCATGCCCTAGAAACAGCTCCCAAAGACCCTGGTAAAGCCTAGCAGCAACAAGGTGTTGTGTTCTTGTTTCCTGTGGCTTGAGTAGTACCCATTCTAGTGGCAGTGTATCTCACATACACCTATACCTAGCAAGCACCGTCCTAAAATTGTGTTGTCTGAATCTCGGTGGAGCCAGCCGTACCATCCAACTCACATTTGTTTTCCTGCACCACGACGCCTCAGAATTCAGAACTTGCATGGGCGTGTATATCAAATATAATATCAAAGAGGGATTCTCCCCTTACACTTATTAAACAAATAGACTTTCATTGGAGAGAGCCTGTGTTCATGTTTAATTGTTTAAGTCAACAAAAAATGCAAAAAAAACTTTATACAAACCTATACCAATACCAATTCCCAGACGCTCCATGTATGCCGTATATGCCTACATTGGGGTGGTTTGAGGGGTCAATGTAGGCATATATGGCATACATGGAGTGTCTGGGATTGGCTTGTTTCGTTCCGCACCGAACCGTTCCGGGCGTTGCGAACTACGCCGCGGGGACGGTCTCCCGTCTGGTATTCCTACGACCGTCCGCCCAACCAAAAACACACCCAAAGGGCTGCAGCCAAAGGGTTTTGGTGGACATCCCGAATATGGAGGGGTTTAGGGTTTAGGCTTTAGGCTTTAGGATGCTTAAGGACTCTGTTCCATTTTTCTGGGGTCGCCCAGGTGCTGCCAAATGAGGGCCGATGCGCCGAGGCCCGCCTGGACAACGGGACATTGCAACGGGGAGCATCCACAAAGGGCACCTGACATGGCGGGCGATGCGCGGACGTGATGCGGAAGCAGGGAGAGGGGATGTCCGATGCAAAACGGTCTCATTTTTCAGATACACTCTGACTGAAGTGGATCGCATGATGGCATGGTCTCGAAAAGAAGACACGATCCTCTTGAAGCACAGGGGGTGAACTCCACTTCCAATGTCACTTGGCTGTGGGTCATGGTGGAAACGACGGCATCTTCCTGTCCGTCACACCTCATGGGGCATGGGCAAGTTGTAGAGGTCGCTGTCTTGCTCGGGCCACCAGTAGTTATGCCTGAGTCCGCCATGGCTGCAGCCGAGGCACCTTCACAAATGTGTTGAAGGAGCTTTTTGAGGATTCACCCCAGGCCTATACCTAATGGGAAACCATGAATGTCAGAACATGTCAGAACCTAAAGAAAAACATTGTGAGTTTGCTTGTCGTTTCTCCCCACAGGTGGATTTGATGGTCAAAAGACTTTGCATGGACACTTGGGAGTGGAGGCCACAAAAAACAAACACTACATTGGCTTGTTCACTAGGAATCTCTGCTGATGTTTGCCTCTTCTTTGTATCAGTAGAGCGAAACAGTATGTGATAAGCTGAGGTACTTGATGTGGCAAATTATAGTTGGTGAACTCTGTATTATGAACATAACACTGGCCCAACTGATGTAATCGGTTCATAGCTCAAGCGATGAAGGCTGTGCGTGCCCTCACCTTCAACAACTGTTGCATTGTGATGCGAGGACTATCTTTTTATATGCCATTCTTTTGCAAAGTTGGCTCACTCAGTTCGAGCTCAAAAGTGGAAGCCCTTAGTTTTAAGGAACCACGGATAGTTCCATAACACTGGCCCACGGATAGGAACCAACTAAGGCCTAGGGCCTTTAAAGGTGAGCCCTTCAAGTTCCACGGAATTCACAGTTCTTCAGCTCTTACCGCCCAAGAAGCACATCGGTGCCGCACGGGCGACCTGGGCGAAACATGGACGAGGTGACGAGGCTCCTCCAGTCGACGACCATCTGACGTACAAAAGCCAGGAAGGAGGAAAAGAAATCCATTTAAAACAAAAAAACATGACAGAATCATGACTGAAGAAGAATAATCCATGAACTTCATCCATGAAGATGAATCCATGAATCAAAACTGTTTCTTCTGAAGATGAATCCATGAACTTCGTCACCGCCACAGGGGTCCGACTTACAGACTCATCAACACAGCTTCCTCTACCTCGATAACTACCGAAATCAAGCGGCACCACGGCCACTGGCAAACTCCAAAGAGGCCACTTTGAAGGTGCTGGGAGTTTTCCTCTTCAGGCATGTTTGATAATTTTTGTGATGGCACAAAAATGGCCCAAACATGGCCAGCCATCATCAAGGGGCCGTTCGTCTGAACGGCCCATGTTCTCGCCACAAAAAGCGGCCCAAGGGATCTGTTCACGGAAGAATGCACCGATTGAAACAGGTCCAGATCAGGGTCAGGAGCCTACGTTCAACGCGCGGATGCAAGAACATGCACAAAGAAACAAGTTTAAACCATTTGAAACGGCAGTGCAACATGTGCCAAAAAAAGGTTGTGTGGTTACGTATTCAACATCATTGATGGTGTACAAGTAGTATGTAGCAAATAAGGAGCCCGCAAATGCACCAGGACGTTGGTGCTTGGGAATGCAAACCTTGCATCTTCCATCATCATCTTCTTCCACAAATGTAGACTCGTGATTAATTAACCCACACCCACCTGGAAAAACAGGTCTGGAGGCTTCGGGGTGTTATGAATCGAGGAGTGGTACAGTACATCTCAATCTCCAGCAAAGCGTTCTGTGGTCCCTGTTTCGAAAAAGTCTTGCGATGAAGAGAAAGCCAGGGGAGTTCATTGGCAACTGAAATAGGTTCATCCTCTATAGGGGGACCCAAAAAGAACATGTGGATTACTATGGATTCTCAGTTCATCCTAACAGGGATTATTCGTGGATCATAGGCCTTAGGAGTTCATCCTTGGATTCTCATGGATTCTCAGTTCTCCATGTTTTCTCGTGTTCGTTTCACTTCGTTTCACTTCGTTTCACTTCGTTTCACTTCGTTTCACTTCCTTCCAAGTGGCCAGAGATCAAGTCCTCATGGCCGTCCGTGAACTGAAACGAACCCGCCGTCGAGCGCTTCCTGTGCAGCGAAGCCCATGGGACCCGCCATGGGACCCGCAGCGAGCGAGGTTGGAAATGCCAGGCACCACGTCCGACATGTCGAAAATATGAGAACTCCTGGTTCATTCATTTCATGCCCCTCCTGGATCCACATAGACAATCATAGACATACCAAACCTGAGGTAAGTGATTGGAGACGATATTTAGGCGCCCAGGGGAGGTGGCCCAGGAAGTCATACTTTCTGAGGTACGGTGGCAGTGGATCCAGGACGCGATTGATAGCATTGGTCCTCCCCGGTCGGGTGGTTTACAGAGCCCTCCCCAGGACGATG